AGACTAATAACACTCAACTATACACTATTCTTTCTTTCTCTAAGCAATAGAAGAATATCAATAACGGGCTTCTTTGCAGCACTGATATAACCCACGTTCAGCCACAATCCCACTCCCACTCCACTTTGCTGTTAGAATGGTGGATTAGTTTGAATTGGCAGGGTGATTTATTAACTGTTTATAAAAAAATCTGAGTGCATGTGCTAGTTAAAGTGTGAATGCCTTTCATTTTTGCTATATATTGTTTTGACTAGATTTTGCATGTACTGACTCACCACTACGCTAACATATTTTTCAATTGTTTTCTGTGGACATTAATCACTGTTCCATAAGAATAGACAAAAAGAGGGTTCAAAATTGAGCTTACAATGAAGAATTTGGCTCTCATTTCTCACCAAGACAGGGTTCTGATGACATGACCCACAATAAACTGCTGGGTGCACAGACACTATATTTGTGTCTCACTTAGGCTAGTCCCTGCCTTTAGGCTAACAATCTAATTCCTACTTCAGTTCCTTTGACCTCTCCTAGGTGTATTTTTTTCACTTGGTTGTGAAAAGCAGTGCATTTCTGTATTGCTAATTGTTACATGTGAAGCTGATAACGTGTAACAAAACATGTAAACTGTTTTGCATCCTCCCTGTTTTAGTCTGCAAGTTTGTTTCCCTTTTTTGCTGCCCTGTTCATGGAGCAGCAGGCATGGCAGTGGCTGAGCATCAGGGATCGTGTACCAAGAGGGAGGGCAGGGAGTGCTTCCTAGCAACAGACCACGGTGGCAGCCCTGCATGGTGCTCCTGCCTGGTCACTGCTCTTCCGCTTCTATGGTCCTGATTTAATGTGTAGATGGAGCTCCGCAGAGCAGCAGGAGAAAAAAGTGGTGGTCAGCCAAGCACATGCCGAGGACAGCATGCGGGCCAATGGGAAAGGGGCAGGCAGTGCAGAGAGAGGCAATGCGTGCTGGATCGGTTCCCAGCTGCAGTGGCTGATGGGCTATGTGCTGCCATGTGGAGGCAAGATGGAGGCATATGGACACTACTCATGTGTAGTTACCTTGCAAATGTGTGTACACAGGACACAAGGTAAGAAAGGAAACTGTGGTGTTCCTTAGCATTATGTATAAACAGCCCCATTCTGTTAATATGTAGCAGCAACAATCTGAGTTTATTTGCTGCAGGTATGCAACTATTTAAAGTTTGATTAACACTATAGAAGAAGGTGCAAAATATCCTGAGTGTCAGGGGCTCAAAATCACTTTCATTAATTAGCATCTTGTTTGTAATGTATTTCTGTAGGTACACGCAGATTGCAGTAGAGCTGTTTTAGCAACAAATTTCCTCTTCTGTTCTAAAATAATTGAAGCAGATTTTGTATGTACTGTTGGGAAAAAAAAGACACAGATACAGTAGGAATTATTTTGGGAAATATTCTGATATACCAAATAGTTTTCCTATACTTTTGAATTAAGAGTATTTTGTTTAATTCCTCATTGAGCTGGAATGCTCAATCAGGCTGTTCTTGTTCAAGCAATGTCAATTCTAGGGAATCCTGGCATTGAACACATGCTGGTACATTCAGCTCATTTGCCTGGCATGGCTTTTCCTGCCAGTGAGAACAGCTCAAGTAACCAGAAAAGGAAACAGTGCCATGTCATCCAAAGCAAGGATCTGCGTCATTGCACCTCTTATGAGCCAGAATTGCAAATTCCACTTTGTTTTTGCCCTGGCATGTTTGGAGCAACAAGCCAGGGTCTCCAGGTCAGACAAAATGGTAAACTTTCCTTTCTTGGTTAGATTATCCACTCCAATTAGTGAAAGGAGCCAAGCTGGAGTAAAAGAGCTGTGTGCACCAATAAATGGCTTGTGGATAATAAAACAGGGTTCTCTGGCATATCATTGCATGTGTTCACAGCCACAAATGAATGAAGTTCCTTAGGATTATATTGTCAAACTGTGAAATTCTAAACATACTTATCTGGGATATTGACTACAGTGGGAGTTGAGAGTCGAGTTTCATGCAAATATACTGCAAGGTTGCATTGGAGTAATTTGCCTTGGAGTAAATTACATTGAACTCAATGGGATTTACTTCTAACTCTAGATTTGTGCTGTGGCTTTTAAATGTTTCCACTTTTATGCTTTAAATCTTTCAGGAACAGATGTTGTCATTGTCAAAAATGGACGGCGAGTATGTGGCACAGGAGGCTGCCTAGCCAATGCCCCTTTGCATCAGAACAAGAGCTATTTTGAATTTAAAATCCAGTCTACAGGTCAGTCAAAAAGTTAATGTTTTCCAAAATGAATTACATTTTGCTCACATTGGACCCAAGTAACTACATTAGATTCAGACTTTTGAATAGAAGAGGCATTTCCACTGGAAGAAGGGTTTGGTCAGGCGCCTTCAGAGCAGATTTTCAGAGAGGTTAAGCAGCTTCAGGAAGGTGGAATTGGCAAAGTTCACATCCCCATTTTTGTCTTTGGGATCCTCCTGCAGAGAACCTACAATGTCCCTGGTAATTGGTTCGATTAAACACATTCCATCTCCGAATGGCCACTGTCCATGTAAGCTTGAGGCTTATGTGGGACATTTATGTGTAAGATGATAAGAATTGCTCTGTGGTAGAGCATATATTTTAAATGTAGAATGCCCCAGATATAATTCACAGCCCCTCCAGAAAGACATCAGAATTGGATGAATCTCTGAAGAGCCCATCAGAGAAGACATTAGTTGGAGTTATCTATGAGAAGAGTTAATCTGCAAAATGCATAGCTAACAGGTGACAACAAAGCAATCTTTCTTTGATAGCCTAGCAGAAGCCTCTTACTTCTGGAAGAAAATTGGTAGATGGTATTGTGCACAGGATGGTAGCAGGAATTATTTCTTTGCTTCCATCATTGCCTTATAGAATGAATTCTAAAATAAGCTCTAGCCTGTATTCCATCAGATTCAAACATCATTTTCCTCCACTGTCATCCCCAGCTGCTTCATTACTGTCAGTTCTCAGAAAACTAAGGTGTTGAATGGTCAAGTGAGATTGGGCCTCTTGAAGTGATTGGGTTAACCTTCTAGGTCAGTGGTTTTCAACCACCTGTCTGCAGACTGGTGCTGGTCCACAGGAGATTTCCTGCCAGTCTCGGGGTGGGAGCACATTCCACTCGCTGTGGACCAGTGTGGGGGCTGGCTGTGCTCCACCACCTATTCCTTGGTTGGCATCATGTTCACAGGGAATGCACTGGTGCCACCGGGGGAGGGGATGCAGGGAGGGGAGAGACAGCTCGGTGGGAACTGGCTAGGAGACACACTGCATCAATTTTGGTATTTTGTTCTTTTGTTAGCATTTTTGTTGCTCAGTTTCTGGTTATGTTGGAGAATTTTCATTTTTTTGGTATTGTGTTTGGAAACTTATACACAGAATACTGTATTATGTGTATGGTGCTTTTTGTTTCTGCCTCAGCAGTCCCTAAGGTGGTTTTCCAGTTTTCGTGGGTCCTCAGCTGGGGAAAGATTGAAAACCACTGATCTAGGTCATCTCTTGATTCCAGAGTAGCCCAGATGTTAATGCAACCATGAGCCATTGAAACAGAAAAATCCTGCAGGGTCATCTGGAAACTCACAGGATCATGTTCATTATTACCCATATTCCACCAGTTTTCCCCTTGTGAGGAACCCAAGTTGGCTTACATAGCTCTATGTTATCATCACAATAACAACACCCCCTATGTGACAGGTTAGGCTGAAACTGAGTGGGCCAAACTAACTCAAACCATCAGACTAGCTATCAGTTTCTTCATATTATTCACCATCTCACCCAGCAAAGATTGAGGACATACTAAGTCTTTAGCTTTGTGTGCCAATTCATTGCAGGCAGAAGGGCCAGTGAAAGGGCAGAGCAGGGTAGGGGGAGGAGGGAGGAGGGTTTTTTTTCCATTTCAAGGAAAAGAGCAAGGTTAGGTTTATTGCTTGATTTATATAGGATTTTTTGTTTTACTCACTGTCAATTTACTGAAGTTGCTTAAAGTGCAAGCCTATGTGTGTTTATCAAGAGATTACTTTTACTTGTTAGTTGAGCTTACTCCAAAGTGTTCTTAGGATTGCTCCCTTAGACTTATAGGAATGTAGTTGTATTGTACATACGTTTTCTTCTGCTTTGTCCATCCATTTCTTGTGTTATGCTAACAGCATAATCCTATGCATGTGTACTCAGAAGTAAGCCTGTTCTGTTCATTAGAGTTTACTTCCAAGTGAGTGGGTCCAGCATTGCATCATAAAGCATATACTCCTGAAGTTCTTCTCTCTTCCCCTTTCTTTTCTCTCATGGCTGTGCCTTTCCATTTTCTCTCCCACTGTATTTTCAGGAATCTGGGGTATTGGAGTTGCAACTCAGAAAGTCAACTTGAATCAAATTCCTCTTGGACGTGATACGAATAGTTTAGTACTGAGAAGCGATGGAGCGCTTTACTACAATAATGAGGAAAAGAACAGGTTGCCTGCAAACAATCTTCCACAAGAGGGTGATGTTGTGGTGAGCTTCTTTACATAACACTTACATGAATCACATCAGAACTGATCTTGCATCCTTTAGCCTAAAGCTACCTTCAAAGCAGACATGATCATCAGTGCCATATTGTTCATATGAGAACTAGTTCTATGTCTCCAAGAGCAAGTTTTACTTTTTTCTCATGCATTATAGCTATCCATGCTTATTTTCTTCTATCGTACCCTCTTTGTAAAGGGTGTGAAATGTGAAAGTATAGATGAGAGATTAGGTAGGTATATTGAATTTAATGGCAAAGCAACAGCTAGGCCATTTTGCACCACTTGCTAATTTTCTTGACATACAGGAGACCTCTTTCATCAGAAACTTGTTCCCAATCATTCGAGGAAAGGGCAGACTGTTAACAGAGCTATGAAGGATAACTTTAGTCTCTCTCTCAGTTGCCCACATGACCTAAAAATTTCTTGTAAGTCCTTCTAGGTAAGGGACATTATTAGAGCATCACACACATGTGGCATCTAAACACACACTAAATGTGTTGAGCTTATATTCTAGAATCTGGGTTCTCTTAGCAGAAAATTGCTTTCTCCAGTCCATGAAATCATACCTTTCTCTTGGGGACACTAGTCTGATTCACAGTGCAAAGCCTTAGGCAGCCATCATGCTATACTAATAGGTGTTTAATGTCGCTACTTATCAACATCTTATGAACACAGAACTTCACAGTGGGGATAAAATGGAAGGAAAGGCAGGCTGTGCTATAATCAGGGCTGGCTGAACTTACTACCTTTGTACAATAATTAAATATAAAGGATAGCATCACTAAGAGGAAATGAGGGGAGGAAAGGATGCAGAAGCTCGTAGTTGCAGATTAAAATACAAAATCCAAGAACTGAGATTGCAGAAGTATTGTGATGATGTAGAATTGAAGGCTTTACCCCAAATTAAGGGGGATGCAACATCTCTTAATAAAACTGGTTTTAGTATCTATGGAAGTCCACTCTCCTTTCCTCTTACCTTTGTGCAGGCTGTCCATCTTTATTTACTTATTGTATGATTTCTCTCTGACCTTTCTATACAGATGTACACTGAAAGCTACTTTCAATAATGTCTCAAATACTGTAAAACAATCACAAGCAATGAAAATAGTACACTGCATCTTCATAGACACAGGTTTTGTCTTCATAGGTTTTGTCTTCAAAGCAGTAGATATTATGTTAATCTTCTACTTTATTTAAAAAAAAAGCAAATGTTTTAAAAATCCGCGCAAAGCCTTTTGGAGGATTAGAATAGGCCAGCTGTATTAATGTGTGCATTTGTGACTATACCTTCCAGAGCTGGCTTTTCCTGGGTTGAAAATGAACCATGCAAAAAATCAAATTGACCTTAGATCTAACTCCAGGATAGAAAAAGGTTTATTTGTACTGAATGTGTTGAGGGTGATTTAAAGTCTCTTTAAATATATCCTCGCATTGAGAGTGTTAGATTTTTAAACAGTAAGTTTCTAGCTCTTAAGATCACACATGTTTGACTATGCTCCTAATTAAATCTTAGAAGTTCATTTTCCTTTGAATGGGGTCTAATTAAGCAGTACTTCCAATGGTTAGGAGGAAGCACCTTGGTTGTGTCTAAACCTGTTTTGTCTGCCCTAAGTTTAGTGGAAGAAAGCTGCAATCTAGAATGTAGAGATGTAAATATGTTTGCATGCAAATGTATAATATATTGAACAGTGTGGGATTTCTGACTACATATATCTTATATAAAACAAGGAGATAGATGCAAAGCTGCCTACTTTCCTAATTTATATGAGTGTTAAGCTCTTTCTGGCATGGAATATAGGATTTGAATTTTGATTTTCCACATGGTGTACATAGGAGTCTGACTATACCAGGCATTGGCTTAGTTGAGGCATTGGCTACATGGAATTTATTTTGAGCAAGTGCAAATGTAATAGTTCTATACAAATCCTTGGTGCAACCACACTTAGAATATTGTGTTCATTTCTGGTCACCTTACCTGAAAAAAGACATTACTAAGCTGGAAAAAGTACAGAAAAGGGCAACAAAAATGATCAAGGGCTGGAGCAACTCCCCTATGAAGAGCAGCTACAACAACTGGGAGTTTAGCTTAGAAAAAAGGCAAGTAGAGACTTGCTAGGGGTGTTTACAATAATGTGGAGAAAGTGGAGAGGAAGAGTTTTTTTCCTCTTTCCCATTACACTCAAGCCTGGGGTCATCCCTTGAAGTAGATTGTGGAAGGTTTAGGACAGATAAAAGGAAGTACTTCTGCCACGGGAAGTGGTTATGGTCACCAAATTGGATAGCTTCGAAAGGGGATTGGACAGATTTGTGGAGGAGGAGGCTACCAGTGGTTGCTAGTCTTGATGGCTGAGTGCTACCTATTTTTACCAGAACTGTCATGCCTGCATACACCAGATGCTGAACAACTTGAGTGGGCAGAACTCTTGCACATCCTGTTTGAGCTGTGGCCAGCTGGTTTGCCACCATGTGTATGGAGTGCTGGATTAGATGGACCTTTCCTCTGATTCAGCATGGCTTCTTTTATGATGTAAGGCAAAGCGGTGGCAATTTTCACCATTTTCCGGTATCTACAGGCAAAGAGAAATCAACAAATCCAGGAGCATATCAGAGTTCAGGAAGACATGAAATGGAGTGGAGTGGGGGCAGCTATAAGGGTGATTATAGTTAGGGGGAAATGTGGGAGAGAAATGTGTCTGTGTAGGAGAAGAAAGGACAGGTGCCTTACACCTGTTCCCCCCCACCAACCAAAAGGTTCCTGATAATCATGTCAGTCAGCCCCCTGGTCTATTGGTGCTGTTGTTAAATGCCAGGTCATTCCAAAATAAAACCTCCCTCAACTATGATATCATTGTTGATGAAGGGACCAACCTCGTTTGTATCACCAAGACCTGGGTGGGAGAGGTGGAGAGGCTCCCCTCTCCCAGCTGTGCCCACCTGGGTACTTGGTGCAGCACCAGCATTGCCTGGAGGGCTGGAAACAGTGGAGGGGAGGGGTGGCTATAGTTTGTAAACACACACGTTCTCTCACTGGACTTCTAGTCCTGTTGGGGCCAGGTTTAAGTGTTTGTACCTGATATTGGGCTCTCAAGATAGATTAGGGATTTTGCTGTTGTACAGTTCACCTTGCCACTCCGCAATCTCTTTGCCTGAACTGATGGAGGTAGTCTCGGACCTGGAGTTGAGGACCCCCAGAATGTTGGTTCTGGGGGACATGAACATCCATCCTGAAGCTGCTTTGTCCAGGATAGCTCAGGACTTCATGGCCGCCATGACAGCCATGGGGCTGTCTCAACCTGTCATTGGCCCAACACACAAAATGGGTCACACTTTGGACCTAGTCTTTTTGATGGATCTGGAAGATGATGGTTCAGATATGGAGGGGTTAATTATAATCCTTTTGTCATGGTCTGACCATTTTTTGGTGAGGTTTATATTATTGGCATAGTTTTCCCTCTGCAAGGGTGGGGGATCCAGAAGGTTTCCAGGGGTCTCTGGGGGAATCTCTGGCTGATGTGATTGGTGCTCCTGTTAAAGCCCAAGTCACTCTGTGGGATGTGGAGAAGATTCAGGCAGTTGACAAGATCACTCCTAAGTTTCTTCTTCCTTCTGTCAGAACTCGACTGGCTCCATGGTATACAGCTGAGCTCAGGGCAACAAAGCAAGAAGGGAGGCAACTAGAACATAGGTGGAGGAGATCTTTAGAGGAATCCAACTGAACATAGCTTAGAGCTCATTATAGAGCCTATTCTGCGGCAATAAAGGTGGCAAAATGTCAATATTTTGGCACTACTATTGTGTCTTCTCAGTGTTTACCCAGTCAAACTTTTCCAAGTGGTTGGGTGGTCTCCTATATACTGGAACATCAAGTGAGACCATTGAGACTTCGATGATGAATTTGCTTCTCACTTTGAAGACCAAGTCACTTGGATATGCTATGACTTGAACTCTACAGTTGATCTAGTCTTACTGAGAGAGGTGTCTAGAATACCATCTTATCTGATTTTGATGGATGAGTTCAAATTATTGTGGCCTGATGATGTGGACAAGATACTGGTTCTGTTCATGCTACAAGTACCACCTGTTCATACAACATTTGTCCTTCTTAGCTCATCAAGAGATCTAGCAACAGGGTTTGTACTTGGGTCCAGGAGGTCACCAACACCTCATTAAGAGAGGGAGTGGTCCCATTCTCTTTGAAGGAGGCTGTTATAAGACCTCTCCTTAAAAAGCCAAACCTGGGCCATTGTAAATTACAGGCCAGTTATAGACATCCAATTTTTGGGCATGGTGCTTAAGCAGGTGGTGGCCAAGCAGCTTCAGCTTCTCTTGGATGAAACAGATTATCTAGATCAGGGGTCCTCAAACTTTTTTAACGGAGCCAGTCAAAAGGTGCCGGTGATGGGCGTGGGCTGCCAAGGCGGTGTGGGCAAGGGGTGCGGGCTAAGCTGGGGGGGGGGGGTGCTGCTGCAAGACGCCAGCTTGCTCGCAAGGAGATTGTTTTCTCCAAGCAAGTCCAAAAAGATCTCCTTGCTCGCAAGCCGCCGCTGGGCGTGTGCACTGCGAGGTGGAGGCTAGTGAGCAAGGAGAGCATTTTCTCCAAGCAAGTCCAAAACAATCTCCTTGTGAGCAAGCCACTGCTGGACACGCATACTGCGAGGTGGAGCCTTGCCCGCAAGGAGATCCTTTTCTCCAAGCGAGTCTGAAAAGACCTCTGCATGAGCAAGCCCCCGCCTCGCCGCACGTGTGGCAAGTCCAAAACCTCTATGGCGGGCCAGATAAATGGGCACGGTGGGCCAGGGCCAGCCTGCAGGGCATAGTCTGAAGACCCATGATCTAGATGCATTTCAGTCAGGGGTTTGGGATATAGACTTTCTTGGTTGCCCTGTGGATGACCTTTGCCAGGAAAGGAACAGAGGGAGCCTGTTTGTACTTCTGGACCTCTCAGCAGCTTTTGAAACCATTGAGCATGGTGACTTTCTGGACAGGACGGCTGGGTTGGGAGTTAGGGGTGCTGAGTTGTGGTTGTTCTACCTGGACTACTGTGTCTAGAAGGTGGTACTGGGGGACAGTTGCTCTGCCCCATGGCAATTATGCTATGGGGTTCCTCAGGGCTCTATACTGTACTTCATGCTGTTCAGTATCTACATGAAACCACTGGGAGAGGTCATCTGGAACTGGGGGCTGAGGTCTCTATCTCATTTTCATGTAGCCCAGGTGAGGTGGTTTCTGTCCTGAAGCAGCACTGCCTGAGCTCGATAACGGACTGGATGAGGATAAATTGAAGCTTGAGCCAGATAAGATGGAGGTGTTGTTGATGGATGGTCCTTCTGCCCAGAGGGTGGGCCTTCTACCTGTTCTGGATGGGGTTGCAGTCCCCCAAAGGACAGGGTTTGTAGCCTGTGTTCCTAGACCCAAAATATCAGGTACACTTGGTAATCTGGAGTGCCTTCTTTCAGCTGAGCTTAATTTATCTACTTTGGTCCTACCTAGACACATTCTGGAACCTCTCAGCTATTGTAATCCACTGTGGGTGGGTCTGCCTTTGAAGACAAACTAGAAACTTCAACTGGTATAGAATGGGGTAGTGCAACTGCTGGTACAAGCAGGTCTGCACTCCCATATCACCACGGTATTATATTGTTTTCATTAGTTACCATTTGAGCTCTGGGCCCAATTTAAGATGCTTATGCTAACATAATGGTTTAGAACCAGGATACCTGGAAGACCATCTGCTCCCATATGTAGCTAACTGTCCCTTAAGATTGGGTGAGGAGAACCTTCTGAGAGAGCCATCTTCTGAGGAGGTAAGGAGGATGGCAAATAAAAGAGGGGTCTTCTCAGTGTTTGAGCCCCATCTATGGCTTGGCCTTCCGAGAGTATGCTGCCTGGCGCCATCATTACATTCTTTTCAATGCCAGGTGAAAATGATCCAATTCTCCAGACATTTTAATAATTTATTTTTTATTGTTCAATTTTAAGGTACAGTCTTATATTGTGTCTTAATTTTAATATATTATTTTAATCTATAACTGGCAGCTCACCTGCATATGTATATTTTATTGTATATCGTTATTGTATGTTGTTATATTTTATATGTTCCAATGTGATACATTGTTTTTATTGTTTCTTTGTAATCTTCCTGGAGTGTCCTTGAGACTAATTAACTGTGGAATACAAGTTGGAAATAAATAAATAGTCCTGGCAGTGCAAATAATGTTAGTTTGCTTCAAAATATGGACTGAATGGAATCCTCAAAGATCTAAAATCAACTTTAGTTTATGTATAAAATATCATAGACTACTTTATTTGGCCTGTGCAGAAAGCATTAAACATCTATGCATTGAGCTGCAATCCTGCACATAATTACATGGGAGCATGTCTCATGGAAATAAATAGGATATTTATGAGTACTCTTGTGTAGGGTTGGATTGTGCAGTACATAATTTTAGATTCCATCATTAAGAGAGCAATTCTACAGTCACTACACAGTATATGAGGGGTTATACTTCAGCCATGGACCTGAGAATCAGAGCTTCAACTCTTTCCCCCTTAAATTTCAGCTTAAAGGTACCTTACTATTTTTGCAAGTATTTGTTTGCATAAGAATGCAGAATGTTGCATTGAAACACATACGCTATGCAATGCAATACCACCACTGGCACCAGCCCTTACTTCGAGAAGACTAGCCTGGGTATTAAGATTAGTATAATAAGACCAGCCTCTAGCTACCTAGCCAGATGGAATATGGCAAATAATGGCATGAAAGATGGCCTTTTTTTGTTTTTATTTTGGCTGCGGTGCCTTTCTTAAAGAATTTTCTCCTCATGGAGGCTTTTGCTTATGTCACTTTCATTTTCCAGTGAATAATTTTTCACCTAGGCTGTGTAAAATGGTTTGTTTGAATTGTTCATGTAATCTTGGCTTGCTGTTTTAATATTTCATATTATTAATATTTCATTGTTTTGTCTTGTTGACATTTTGAGAATATTTGGTGAAGCCACCAGAAAATATTCATATTTGGGAGTAATATATAAATTGCTTACATAAATTAAAATAAAAACAAGGCAGAGGCTTACAAAGATTTCACATTTGTCTTACAGGGGATAACATATGATCATGTAGAATTAAATGTTTATTTAAATGGAAAAAATATGCACTGTCCTGCCTCAGGAATCAGAGGAACTGTTTTCCCTGTGGTATATGGTAAGTTGGCACTCTCAGAACCTACTTTACTAGACTGAACAGAACACATGACCTGAGTTCAAATGCCCACTTAACTATGAAGCTCACTGGGTGACCTTGAGCAGGTTGCCAACTCTCTCTGTAATGTGAGGATAAAATAGAGTGGGGAAAAGATGCAGATTGCCCTAGGTTTCTGCAAGGAAAAGTCTGATAAAAATGTAACATGTAAATTAATGCATATTCTTAAAGCAACTGCCAATATTCTAATAAAAGCTTGCTAGAATTTTAATGATCATTTTAATGTTTATTTAGGTAGCTTATGAACATAATGCTATTAAGTCAGCTTGCAATGACTGTAACTGAAATCTGACAGTTAGAAATTTCCATGTTTTGATGCAGATGCTATCAACTGATTTTTTAAACAATTTCTCTATAAACAAACCACAGTATTGAAATAGGAATAACGAATTGCAAAATATGCCACTTTTCATTTCAAAACTTAATTACTATCACAAGTCAATATTCATTAAGAGTTGTGGTAGAATCATTCTTTTCTTGATCTGGGAAATTTGGTAATTTAGGATGGTAATTTAGGATACTACTTATTGCCTTTGAAATTCTCATGTTAGATACCTGTCCTGAAGTAATGGATGGGACATTTCTTTCAGTTGACATTTTTAAGCCAGTCGACCTAATTTGTACCTCCCAGACTAATATGTGAATTGATTGTACAGTTTTCCATATTTTGCAATACAGTTCTTTGCTCACACATTGCATACAAAACTGTATGTCAGGGAAGGTTATATGCAAAATAAATGCAGATGTTTGTGCAGGTTTTTTGGAAAAAAGTTGCAGACTAAAGAAATTGGACAGAATGGAGGCATTGAATGCATGTGAAACTGATACAGACTAAGAATGAATTGATTTGTTCAGCCCTTGTAGTGAACACCAGTGAGGGAGGGATGTACTAAAAGCCCTAATACCATTTTCCTAGCACCTTTGTTTTCCTGAAGTGGACATGGCTCAGATTTTCTTGGCTTATGAAGATTGATAATACAGTACAAACAACTAAAGTGCATTATTTCTGATGCAGCATTCTCATAAAATAGGGAGTGCAATAAACAAGGATCCTTAGATGCCAACACTCACTGTCCCCCAGTTTACTGAAAAGAGCATGCACAGCTCTCACCAGAATTTCCCTTTACTCCTTTCTTTGCCACACAGTTTTTCTACTGTATCATTACCCCAACTCAACTATACCATAATTGTTTTATAAACATACAGGTATGGCACTTTTTCTCTCCTTTGATTTAGAATCAAATACCTGAGGGAGCACCTCTCCTAGTATGAAACTGCCTAAGCCCTACAATCACCATCTGTGTTTCAAAGGATAGGAAGAACAGTCATTTCAGCTTTCCTAGTAAGAATTGTCTGTGCCACCATTGTAATCTTTGTGGTGCCCAGTTAAGGCTTTTCTCCATTCCTACGTCTTTGATGGCTTATAAATATTGTAATAAGTGACCAAGAAGAAATATAACAGAAGCAGATTTCATTTATTCATTACTTTTTGATACCACCCAGCAGCTGAGTAGGTGAGAGCCTTTGGGCAGTTCACAATTTAAAACATAAAATATAGCAAAAAAAAAAAAAAAAAATCAGTTTATAAATGTTTAAAGCTATAGTACATGGGTCCTCGAACTACAGCCTGGGGGCTGGATCTGGCCCGCCATGCCCATTTGGACTCGCCTGCTACCGCCCACCTCGCCCTGCGCATGGGGAGGCAGCAGTTGGCTCACTTGGGAAAATGATCTCCATGCAAGCCAGCCACTGCCTCGTGTGCCTGCCTCGCGGCGCATGCCCACTCCTGCCCATCCCTTGCCACACACGCACGCCCACACCTCACCTCGCCGCAGCATGTGCCCTGCCCCTGCCTCAGCATGCACGCCCACACACGCTGCACTCGCCCCTGCGCTGGCCTGTGCGCACTGCCAGCACCACCTCTCCAGCCCACACCCAGCACCGGCAGCTTTCAACTGGCCCCCTGGTGGAAAAGTTTGAGGACCCCTGCTACAGTATAAAGTAGAAATAAAACCCAGAATGAAACCTAACAGTAATAGGAAGATTTAAAGGATTTAAAACAAGAACTGTAACTAAAATTCCTGAGAAAATCAGAAAACCTGTGCCAGAACGAGTACAATGGAGGTGCCAGGTTAGCCTCTGTTGGTAGTTCATTCTGTAGCCAAAGTGTCGCAACAGAACAGGCCCTTTTCTTTGGAGCCACCTACCTGCTTTCCTTTGGCAGGGGCTCCTGCAGAAGGACTGTTGAGGATGATCTGAGATTCCACACAGGTATATTTGGGAGGAGACAGTCCTTCAGGTAAATGGCCCCAAGCCGTTTAGGACTTTGAATGCTGGACTGACAGCCAATGCAGATAGTAAAATACTGGCCTAATATGATTACACTAGCCAGTGCCTGTTAACAATCTCACTGTCCTGTTTGGACCTGTATAATACACTGCAGTAATCCAACTGAGAGAACCTAAGAAGAGATAAGCTGGATAAGACCAGTAGTCCATCTAGTCTAGCACCGTTTTCATACCGTTGCAAGCAAGCTGTCCACAGCATCCTACCAGCAGGATAGGAGTGAAACAGCACAATTTTGCTTAGGTTCCACAACAACTGGTATATCTAGGCTGTCCCAAGTTACCAAAGCATGGCTAACTGTGGCTAGGCTATATCTACCCAGATGAGGATGTAGTTACTGTATTTGTCCAAGCTGATAAAAGGCCCTCCATGCCATCAAATCCAACTGGTACATGGAGTTGACTGGCTACTTCCTGCTCAAGCACCTTGTCCAGAAAGGGACTATAGGCTATTAGGCTATAGTTCTTAACATCATCTGCATCCTGATTGCACTTTTATTTTTTAAAGAAGTGGCCTAATTACCACCTCATTTAAAGCGCCCGGCACAACCCCTTCTCTCAAGGAGTTTACAACCTCCTTGAGACTCACCCCATACCTCTTCCTGTGAGAAGTAATAAGTTATGAAAGGCAAGTGTGAAGTACACAGTAAAGCACATGAAGGGTAAGGGTCCAGCATGGTCAACCAGACTTGGCCAAGCACCTTGTTGACATCTTCACGTCTCAACAACTGAAACACATCCAAAAAACTGGGCCAGATGATGCTGTGAATGGCTTTATTAGTCCAACTGCATTAATTGTGGTGTCCAAGGTGTGACAGATCTAAGCAACTTTATCTTCAGAATGCTGTGTAGCCTTGTTACTGAGCACTGCTGAAGGTTCCTGGCCCAGATTGCAGCAGGCTGTGAACAACTTGGCAAAGCTTTGCTTGATGACATTGGGAAGATGCAAGAGCTCCCTCTTTGCCGCCCTCCTCTCTACAGAGTAAGCTTGAGGTGCAGAGAATCAGTCTATGTATTATTCACTCCCCATTGTAAGGTTCCTTGTAGTCTCTTTGGTGATCTGGTACAGAGCTACATCACAGGTTTTTTTGGTGCATCCACTTCAAGGGTTGTTGATTGAGACCTTTACCATGGCAGCACTGCACAGTCAGGTAGACCAAAGCCAGTGGCTATTCTGAGAATTGGGTCACAGCACTTTCCCCTCCACTGATCTACTAGTAACTTGTGTTCAAACTACTGTTGGGTAAATTTCCCTGTTCTGCAATGGTGAAGGCAGTGTGCATTGCTAAACTAGCAAGTAGTCATTTGCTTACCCATTTTGGTGTGTAAGAATTGCTTCCAGGTGAGCAAGTACTTTTATAATTACATGAAAATAGGGTCAGCTGTTGATGTACCACAAATAATTGTGTTTTATTGCAAGACTGTGTTAAGCTCCATAATTATCTGTAGGAATGCAAATTGTGAACATAAGTGATACTTTGAACATTTGATACAAAAGACCAGGCCAGGTGTTCCTCCTCATGTGATCATGGAATTGTGAGAGGGGAGAGTAAGGCTGCACTTGCTGTCTCTGCCTATTTGCATTATCTCCACCATGCATTAGAGGGGGAACTTGGAAGTGAGAGGCTTGCTCTGTGCCATTTAAAATGCTACAGTGTGAAGGATCTGAATGATTTAGACAGTCTAACTTGTGCAGAGCAGGCTTCCCACTTCCCTTCTAATTTGTGGAGGGTTGCAGAGTAAGACTGTTGGGGGCAACAAGTGCATTCCTGTATGAGTTTGAACACCTGAGCATTTCCTTGCTATAGAAAATATTGTTTGACTACACAGTATGTATGTATGTATGTATATGAGTACTTCACTATGTTTTTCTCTTTCTTACAGTTGATGACAGTGCCATTTTGGATTGTCAGTTTAGTGAATTTTATCATATACCTCCAGCAGGTTTTGAAAAGATACTCTTTGAACAACAGATCTTCTGAATGTTTCCACTGAGAATTAATTCACTAGCACTTTTTAGCTGTTCTCTCAAAATTCCCAAAACAAAAATCTCTATTTAGTAAAAGATGTTTAGCTGTAACCAGAGAAGAATGTTGCAGTTGTTAGATTTGACTACTATTTTGTGTTGTGAACAATATTTTTAATTTGATATTAAGGGATACAGTTGACAGTATTCAATGAATGTTGACCCAAGTGATGCTATACAATGCAATACTTGTGTACACAAAACTGTATGTTCTGATGGTTGTTGCAACATTTTGACTCTTATGTACATATTTCCTAAGTTCTATGGATTACAGGTGTCTATAGCGATTCACAACTGCAATATTGGAAGCTGTTTTTTCTGTTTTTCATGAGTCAGAGTCCTGTTCAGTGGGTTCTTGCAGTGGAATTAGGGCAAGCTGATGATTGGAAAAAGCCGAGCCCACTGGAAGCTTATCTTATGACTGTAGTGTATAATTTGTTGGTTGTTAAGGCTAATGCTAACTCTTAATCGTATCTTACAGGGATCTTCTATTTACATGTTTTTTTCTAGAAAAAATAAACATCTACTGGCTGTTCTTCTCTCTACTTTGTGATTGTTTTAAATGACATTTTTGTGCACTAATACTACTATAGCATAGATTTTTGTGAAGGTAGCTTTTCTGTACTTCCAGAAGTTTGAAAAATACCCTACGTGCTTGTTGTGTTAAATAACAGCTTCTTACCTGTGACAGAGGTTAGCTGACATGACATAGCAGAATAGAGTATACTATACAATTTTTTAAGATTTGCAGTGTGGTTTTGGCACACTGCAATATAACTGTGAGGTTTTGGCTCTCTTTTTTTTAGCAAGTTAGTAATACTTCTAAATCCTATGGTTGCAAAAGTTGCAGTCTACCATCTTAGTTCTGTTAGCAAGTATGTGGAAAAAGCTAATTGTTCTATATGCTATCAGTTTTTCAATCTTAAGAAAAATGTCATTTTCTTCCTGATAGCCTAATAGTAGAAATACTTAGTGCTATTCTGCAAAGAAGTACCCTTTTCTTGTAATCACTCAGCTATGGATAAACTTAGGAATTCTACTCCTGTAACTGGAAAACCATTTCCAAAATCGCTTGAAAAAGAAGCCTGTCAACCACCTTGGTCCACTGCTTGTAGATTATGCCTAATTTTACATACCTGATCACATTAGTCAAACTTCTAGAGCATTACACTACAGTGGTGTAGGAGTTTATGCTAAAAGCAATGTGTAGCTTTAACAGATGTGCTGGTACACACACACTCACGCTAATACCTGTTCCGAACCTGATGCCTTCCAGATGTGTTGGACTGCAACTCCTTTCATTCCCAGCCAACATGATAAGTGGTCAGAAATTCTGCAAGCTGTAGGCCAAACAAGTTGGGGCTACAATAAAATTTGTGAGTAGGTAAAATACTTGCACCAATCAATTGTGACAATTGCTGTTGGATCCATAAACAAACAAAATGTTTTTCACCTATCTTGAGTGATTTTGAAAACAGCGACATTATGAACTAGGAATATCAGGCGTTTGGCTCTTGCCTCTTAGCGGAGCGGCAGAGGCTGGGAGAGAGCGCTGAGTGGCCAGGGGACCAGCGAAGGCAAGGTAGGAGCTGGGCAGAGGAGCAGGGGGACAGGAACAGTGGAGAGGAAGGGAGGCGGGGCCAGAGAGGCTAGAGGGGCCAGGAGGAAGCAGAGGGGCAGGGCCACCGGCCTGAGAGGCTTATAAGCATCGCTTGTCTGCGTCCCGGGCTGCCCATGGAATCCCTTCCCTGGGGGCCGAGGTTTTTTTTTGTTTTGTTTTCCTCCAATTTAAATTTTTATTTAATCCTTCCGTGTGTGTGGGGGGAGCATTTTTGTCTGGGAGAACAGGGTGAGTGAGGGGTAGTGCAGGACAGACAAGGTGGAAGACCAAGGTAGGGTCTCTGAAGGGTTCCCAATGGCAGACCAGGAGATGGGAGTCACGGATGTTGCTGTCTGCTGTGACAGCTGTGACATGTTTGCCCTTCTCCCCCAGGAGAGGCAGGGATACACTTGCCCTCGGTGCAAGCTGGTGACCCTGCTAGAGGAGGAGTTGAAGTGCCTGAGGGCAGAGAGAGCTCTCCAGGCCCACCGGGAGCGGTCCCCCTGCAGACAAAGGGTTGAGGGTGGGGCCATGGGAAGAACAGCCAGGGAGACATGGAGGCATGTCACCCACAGGATGAGGAGGCCAGCATGACCGCCGCCGCCTCCTGGCACAAATCTGGAGCTGGGAAACAGGTTTTTTCTGCTTGGGGAGGCTGGGGCTGATAAGGCCCTGGAGGACCAGCAGGACCCCCAGCCTGGGACCACAAGTGGCAAGGGGGCCGCTGCAGGAGAGGCGAGGGCCAGGGCACGGCCGCCCACCATCACCAGGAAGACATGGCAGCGGGTGATGGTTTTTGGGGACTCCCTGCTGAGGGGCACTGAGGTGGCAGTGTGCCACCCCAACCTTGAGGTGAGGGAGGTCTGTTGCCTGCCAGGCGCACGCATCCGGCATGTGAAGGTCAGAATGGAGCGTCTTGTTTGCTCCGGGGGTCACCAGCTGCTCCTGATGATCCATGTGGGGACAAATGACATAGCCAGGCAGGGTGTGGTCGCGATCACCAGGGACTTTGAGGCCTTGGGGAAGAAACTCAGGGAGCTAAAGGCCCAAGTGGCCTTCTCATTGATCTTACTGGTCCAGGGATTTGGGCCAGGTAGGAACAGGAGGGTTGCCGAGGTGAACGACTGGCTTAGAGTGTGGTGCCAGAATGAATGTTTCGGGTTCCTCGACCATGGCACCCGGATTCTTGCCAATGGACTTTTGGCAAGGGACTGGTTACACCTCACGAGGATGGGGAAAAGGTCCTTTGGTGATGCTCTAGCAAGCTTTGTCCGGAAGACTTTAAACTGAGCTGAGGGGGGGATTCAGGACCCCCAGAAACTTGTCTGCACTGGACAAGTGTGGGGAGAGTATCAGGGCTCTGGGAGCAGGGTTTTAGAGGTACTGCAGGGACTGACAGGACTCCTACAAAGAGAGGGCAGGTATCAGTGAAGATGGGAGGAAGGAGGAGACTGGGGACTCCAAAGAAAGGAAGCTGTGGGAAGGAGTTGAGGTGCATGTGCACCAATGCTAGGAGCATGGGTAATAAGCAGGAAGAGCTTGAAGCTCTCCTGCGAATGAGAGGGTATGACCTGGTGGGAATCACAGAAACTTGGTGGGATGCAAGGTAAGACTGGAATGTAAACATAGAGAGGTGTTTAGAAAGGACAGGAAGGGAAAGAGGGGTGGGGGCGTGGCTTTATACGTCAGGGAAGGGATAGGATGCAGTGAGATAGAATGCAGCACAGAGGGGGATTCGGCAGAGGCAGTCTGGCTGAAACTTAGGGGTTTTGACAGGGAAGGAGACCTGACAGTGGGGGTATGTTATCACCCTCCAGGTCTACTTGAGACCCTGGATGATGTCCTGACAGACCAGATTCTAAGGATATCTTGGGAGAGAGACACAGTAATTTTGGGAAATTTCAATCTCCCGTATATTAGTTGGGAGACTCACTCAGTGGTGACAGTCAGGTCACATCGCTTCCTAGAAGCGATAGAAGGAAGGTTTTTCACACAGGGGGTCCAAGAGGCAACGGGGGGCGGGGGGGGGGAACATCCTTGACTTAGTCTTGACCAATGGAGAGGAACTGATGAAGTACAGATTAGGGGAGCTCTGGATGCAAGTGATCACTCCATCCTTTGCTTTGAGATCAGGGGACTGGGGACTTGCAGCAGGTCGAGCACTAGAAGCTGGGACTTCAAGAGGGCCAACTTTGGCCAACTGAAGGCCAGACTGGGGAAAGTCTCCTGGGATAGGTTACTGGAAGGTAAGCGAGTTGAGGAGGGGTGAATGGCACTCAGAAGTTTTGGAGGCGCAAGCCTTGACGATATCTCTAGTTAGTAAGATATGGAGGCGAAGGAGAGCTCTGCCATGGATGCGAAAGGATGTGATTAGAGGGATTAGATGAAAGAGGAACCTCCGTAGGAAATGGGTACTGGGGCAAATAGACAAAAGGGTATACCGGGAGGAGGAGGCCCCTTGCAGAAGGATTCTTCGCAAGGCTAAGGCTGATTACGAGCTGAGACTTGCCAAGAATATCAAGAACAACAAAAAGGGCTTCTATTATTTTATTTATTTATTTATTAAAACATTTATATGCCGCCCCATTTGCCGAAGCCTCGGGGCGGCTTACAACATAATAAAAATTACAATACTATTAGCATGTAAATAGCAAGAGGAAGGGGAGACAATAAGACCACTAAATAAGGAGGGAGGAGATCCAGCAACAGATATGAGGGAACAGGCGCAGATGCTAAATGACTATTTTGCCTCTGTGTTCTCCCCAAAGGAGGATGGGGGAGATCCACATAGGAGATTAGATGAGGCCAGGGATTTAGGGGCACAGATTAGAGTCATTCCCCAAGAAGTCGAGGGGCTCCTCAGGGCATTGGACAGTACAAAGGCGCCAGGCCCTGACGGGTTACACCTGAGAGTACTTCGAGAGTTGGCAGGGGTTCTCTCATGCCCGCTGGCCTCCATTTTTGGGGCCTCGTGGAGAATGGATGAAGTTCCAGAGGACTGGAGGGTGGCATCAGTGGTCCCAATTTTCAAAAAGAGTAGTAGAAGGGACATGGGGAATTAGAGACCTGTTAGCCTTACATCCATTGTAGGAAAAACAGTGGAAAGGCTCATAATAGAGAGAGATGTAGTGATGCTAGATAGGGAAGGGAGGCCGGCGGCCACACAACATGGCTTCTGCAAAAACAGGTCCTGCCAGACAAACCTTGTGGAATTCTATGACAAGGTTTCGAGATGGCTAGATGGAGGGGATGCAGTGGATGTGGTTTACCTGGATTTCAGCAAGGCCTTTGACAAAGTGCCCCATGATATCCTGGTGGAGAAACTGAGGAGTTTTGGGATACACCAAAGCACTGTCCGGTGGATTAGGGCATGGCTGACTGACCGAAAGCAGAGGGCAACCATTACTGGGGAATCATTGGGATGGCAGCCAGTGACAAGTGGGGTCCCCCAGGGCTCTGTCCTGGGGCCGATCCTGTTTAATCTTTTCATAAAAGACATGGAAGAAGGGGTAAACAGTCTGCTGATCAAATTCACAGACAATACTAGAACTGGGGCAGCGGCCACAACTGAGGAGCAGGTACTCCAGATCCAAAAGGATCTGGACAGCCTATGAAAGTGGGCAGGAGACAACAGGATGGCATTCAATGTGGATAAGTGCAAGGTCTTGCACTTGGGGCATAGGAATAGGTGTCATAAGTACAGGTTAGGTGACAAGTGGCTGGAGAGCAGCACTTGTGAAAGGGACCTTGGGGTGCTGGTTGACTGCAGGCTAAACATGAGTCGGCAGTGTGATGCGGTGGTCAAGAGGGCCAACACCACCCTTGGTTGCATAGCCAGAAGTGTGGCTTCTAGATTGAGAGAGGCATTACTACCACTCTATATGACTTTGGAGCACCCGCAACTGGAGTATTGTGCTCAGTTTTGGGCCCCTCAT